TTTGTGGGGCTATGAAAGAACAAGACTAAGTAATTTATCCAGTTCTGATTTGGGTTTTAGAAGATTATTTTACTTCCAGGGTCCTTCAGCCAGGTTATTCCTAAGCCAGGGCAGTTCTCTATTCTGTTTTACTGAATAGTGTTATTAACCCCAACAAAACCAAGAATGAAGTCATTCAAGATGGTTGAGCAAAATTTAAGGTTTGCTACTACCAAAGGAAGAGGTCCCATTCCCTTTCTTTACTTCCACTTACCTAGCTCTGCCACTCACTAGCCCCCTCCATTTTTATGTTCAGCTCCATAAATGAGCAGGCAATTGTGCAATCTTTTCTGAAAAAAGGAAACACTGGTCCAGTGAGTGCCAGCATCAGTAAAGAGAAATAAGCAAGGGACGAGCTAGCCCTCGTCTTTCCCTGGCAGCAGACTACTGTCCAGCTGTCCCCCATAACTTCACCCCAAGGAGAAAAGGAGAGGCACTGCAAAAGCCAAGTTTGCTACTAGATCTACTCTCAAAGACCTTGCATCACTTGCACAAGCAGTTAAATTCAGACACGTGCTTGACTCCGTCCTTACACAAAGCACCTACACGCACATTTCACTGAATGTGGATGGTGTCAAATAGGTGTATAGCTCTTTACTAACCAGTTAGTTTCATGCCACAGACCAAAAACTATTTTTGTCCCCCTTCAAATATAGGAAACATTCTGGATATCAGATGAGTTCTCCTCCTTCCTCCACAACAGTGAAAATAATTAGCCAATGTCTAAGTCTATGTAGTACATTTCTCTTAGCAAATGAGTACTTTTTTCACAAAATCAGATTGCTTGCTTGCTTTCTGACCAAGTAACAAGAATATCTCACTTTCTTTCAGAGTGGATTGCCTATGCAAAGGTATGCATGTATTTGTTTTATTTTATTCTAATCTTCACTTCTGTACATTTTTAATGAATCCACTTCACTCTAAGACAAAACTGAACAGTGAGGCATATACGTGTAACTCAACTTTAATTTGTAGATTTGCTTTGTGAAATGCCTGTCACCAGCTTGTTAAACTAAACTTTTTAATGAGATTTTCTTTCAAAGATAGCCCTCTCCCTGACACGTTTAGCTATGTTTCACACAATATTTCAGCTGGACCATCGGAGAGCTCTGCACTAGGAACTAAGTGCCAAAAGGTCTGGCTGTTTGGATTAGCAGTGTCAAATTTCAGCTTGAAGAATGTGAAACATCTCATAATCTTGAGCGACATTCTTCAAAACTTTGTGGGAGGGAAAAGGGAGCAAAGAAGCTAGCAGAACAGCTCGATATTGTTCTCATACAAGAGCAAAGCAGATCTAGGACTGCTACTGGATGGGGGGGTTGTTAATCCTACAAACTAAGAAGAATACTTGAATTTTATAAGTTAGTGCAGGCAAGATAAGGTGTTGCGTACTGTAGATCTGTACAGCAAATTGCATCAAGCTCTTACAAGCAATTACCAGAAAGTAAAAGCTTGGTTAGAAATGAGTTTTATTCAGCCATGTTTGTTTCCTTAAGATGTTCAAAAGTTTACAGAAGGGAAACGAAGTTTATTTTCTCCCAAAAAACCAAGGAAGTAGGAGCTAGTACCTCCCTTAATAACCATACCTCTCTCACTGATGGCGCAGTGCTCACTTTACTGCATGATCCCCTTGAAGATTTCAGGTGGGGCATGCAGGTGAGTGAGGTATATTAAAAGCACTAGCACTGGTGAGCAAGGCTTGGGGAAGACAGAAATAGCCTCACAACAAACAGCAATACGCTGCTTTTGTGACTCTACCATAATGTGTTTCACTTCTTAAGGCAGTAGACATCATTAGTTGAGCTGTATCTCCTCTTCTTCCCAATGTTTATTCATTTTTCAGGTAAAAGCTCTGTTATAACCAGCAGTTTGCAAACAGGTCTGTGTTTGGGACTGGGTGTGTTGGAGCAGGCTGATACAGTTTATGAGTCATTACACAATGCAGTTCTCTAGACAAGGCTTAACAGATGTGTGTGTGCCTACATGTTCACTGTAGAAAAGGCTTCCTAGATTTTCTGAACTGTTGCAGTTTCCAGCCCACTCTTTAGCATTTTGAATTTACAGTAGAAGAGGGAAGAGGGAGAGGGAGAGAGGAGAGAAGAGAGAGATCTTTGTATCTTGGTATGAAAACAGGTGATCTGCACCTGTTATGGGAAGAGTCTGCACTGATCCAACTCAAAACTATAATACGTAAGCATATCTCACTGACAGGGCGAAGATTTGTGTGATCTGTAGCAAACTTCAGGGGAAAATTTGAAGAATACTGAAGGTAAATGGCTAAATGGGAGAACATTAAACATTTAATGTACACTTGGTGCTACTTGCCTGGCAGCTTCGGAGGGAAGCCACTATATACCAGCTAAGATATAGGCTCTGGACTTCTATCCAGACACATTTTAAAATCAAGAAATCACACAGGGAACAACACAAGCTTTGTTCCACAGACACCATCAGGAAAGATTGAGAAAAGGATGTTCAGATGATGTATTATGATTCTATTTCTTGTCCTGACCGATATTAGAATGTGCAGAAATGTAAAACAAAAATCACCAGTTTCTGCTTTAAAGTTTTTTGTCAGGTTGAATTTGGTCCAAGAGCTGGACAAGGGCTGTATTCAGCTCCTCCTTTATCCAAATCATTAGTCTAACTCCTTAACAGCTAATGCCTTCTTATCATAGCCAGAGAAAACTGCTGAAATATCAGATTATTCCCTCCATCTAGAAGCGCATTGGGACAGTTGGCAACCCTCCTCCAAGACTGATTTATATATCATCCAGGGTAAAAACGTACCTCCATCCTTCAGTTTTAATGAACACCTCTTCTACCCACTCCCAGGCTGTACTTTCAAAAGCATTTCTTAAAGCAGCAATGCTCATTTTAAACAGTCTTCCCCGACACAGTCTTCAG